ATTGTCTACACTAGTGATTGTGTGGTTGTCTACACTAGCGATAGTGTGGTTGTCTTCACTAGCGATAGTGTGGTTGTCTACACTGGCGATAGTGTGGTTTTCTATACTAGTGATAGTGTGGTTGTCTACACTAGTGATGGTGTGGTTGTCTACACTAGTGATGGTGTGGTTGTCTACACTAGTGATGGTGTGGTTGTCTACACTAGTGATGGTGTGGTTGTCTACACTAGTGATGGTGTGGTTGTATACACTAGTGATAGTGTAGTTGTCTACACTAGTGATAGTGTGGTTGTCTACACTAGTGATGGATGTGGTTGTCTACACTAGTGATGGATGTGGTTGTCTACACTAGTGATGGATGTGGTTGTCTACACTAGTGATGGATGTGGTTGTCTACACTAGTGATGGATGTGGTTGTCTACACTAGTGATGGATGTGGTTGTCTACACTAGTGATGGATGTGGTTGTCTACACTAGTGATGGATGTGGTTGTCTACACTAGTGATGGATGTGGTTGTCTACACTAGTGATGGATGTGGTTGTCTACACTAGTGATGGATGTGGTTGTCTACACTAGTGATGTGTGGTTGTCTACACTAGTGATGGATGTGGTTGTCTACACTAGTGATGGATGTGGTTGTCTACACTAGTGATAGTGTGGTTGTCTACACTAGTGATGGATGTGGTTGTCTACACTAGTGATGGGTGTGGTTGTCTACACTAGTGATGTGTGGTTGTCTACACTAGTGATAGTGTGGTTGTCTACACTAGTGATAGTGTGGTTGTCTACACTAGTGAGTGTGGTTGTCTACACTAGCGATAGTGTGGTTGTCTACACTAGTGATAGTGTGGTTGTCTAAACTAGCGATAGTGTGGTGTCTACACTAGCGATAGTGTGGTTCTCTATACTAGTGATAGTGTGGTTGTCTACACTAGTGATGGTGTGGTTGTCTACACTAGTGATGGTGTGGTTGTCTACACTAGTGATGGTGTGGTTGTCTACACTAATGGTGTGGTTGTCTACACTAGCGATAATGTGGTTGTCTACACTAGCGATAGTGTGGTTGTCTACACTAGCGATAGTGTGGTTGTCTACACTAGTGATGGGTGTGGTTGTCAACACTAGTGATTGGTGTGATTGTCTACACTACCGATAGTGTGTTTGTCTACACTAGCGATAGTGTGGTTGTCTACACTAGTGATAGTGTGGTTGTCTTCCTATTGCGATAGTGTGGTGTTCTGCACTAGTGATATGTGTGGTTGGCTACACTAGTGGTGTGGTTGTCTACACTAGCGATAGTGTGGTTGTTTACACCTGCGATAATGTGGTTGTCTGCACTAGCGATAGTGTGGTTGTCTACACTAGCGATAGTGTGGTTGTCTACACTAGTGATGGTGTTGTCTACACTAGTGATGGTGTTGTCTACACTAGCGATAATGTGGTTGTCTACACTAGCGATAGTGTGGTTGTCTACACTAGCGATAGTGTGGTTGTCTACAATAGCGATAGTGTGGTTGTCTACACTAGCGACAGTTTGGTTGTCTACACTAGCGATAGCGTGGTTGTCTACACTAGCGATAGCGTGGTTGTATACACTAGTCTACACTAGCGATAGTGTGGTTGTCTACACTAGCGATAGTGTGGTTGTCTACACTAACGATAGTGTGGTTGTCTACATTAGTGATAGTGTGGTTCTCTTCACTAGTGATAATGTGGTTGTCTACACTAGGGAGAGTGTGATTGTCTGCACTAGTAATGGGTGTGGTTGTCTACCCTAGTGATGGGTGTGGTTGTCTACACTAGTGATGGGTGTGGTTGTCTACGCTAGTGATAGGTGTGGTTGTCAACACTAGTGATGGGTGTGCTTGTCTACACTAGCGATAGTGTGGTTGTCTACACGCAATAGTGTGGTTGTCTACACTAGCGATAGTGTTGATGTTTACACTAGAGATTGTGTGGTTTTCTACACTAATGATATTGTGGTTGTCTACACTAGTGATGGTGTGGTTCTCTACACTAGTGATGGATGTGGTTGTCTGCACTAGTGATAGTGTGTGGTTGTCTACACTAGTGATGGTGTGGTTCTGTACACTAGTGATGGATGTGGTTGTCTGCACTAGTGATAGTGTGTGGTTGTGTACACTAGTGATGGGTGTGGTGGTCTACACTAGTGATGGGTGTGGTTGTCTACACTAGTGATAGTGAGGTTTTCTGAACTAGCGAAGGGTGTGGTTGTCTACACTAGTGAGGGTGTGGTTTTATACCCTAGTGATAGTGTGGTTGTCTACACTAGTGATAGTGTGGTTGTCTACACTAGTGATAGTGTGGTTGTCTACTCTACTGATGGGTGTGGATGTCTGCTCTAGCGATGGTGTGTGGTTGTCTACACTAGTGATGGGTGTGGTGGTCTACACTAGTGATGGGGGTGGTTGTCTACACTAGTGAGATTGAGGTTTTCTGAACTAGCAAAGGGTGTGGTTGTCTACACTAACGAGAGTGTGGTTGTCTACACTAGTGATAGTGTGATTGTCTACACTAGTGATAGTGTGGTTTACACTAGTGATAGTGTGGTTGTCTACACTAGCGAGAGTGTGGGTGTCTACATTAGTGATAGGTGTGGTTGTCTATACTAGTGATATGTGTGGTTGTCTACACTAGTGATGGGTGTGGTTGCCTACACTAGTAATGTGTGAGGTTGTCTACACTAGCGATAGTGTGGTTGTCTACACTAGTGATGGGTGTGGTTGTCTACACTAGTGATGGGTGTGGTTGTCTACACTAGTGATAGGTGTGGTTGTCTACACTAGTGATGGGTGTGGTAGTCTACAATAGTGATGGATGTGGATGTCTACACTAGTGATGGGTGTGGTTGTCTACACTAGTGATGGATGTGGTTGTCTACACTAGTGATGGACGTGATTGTCTACACTAGCGATGGTGTGGTTGTCTACACTAGTGATGGGTGTGGTTGTCTGCACTAGCGATAGTGTTGTTGTCAACACTAGTGATAGTGTGGTTGTCTACACTAGTGATAGTGTGGTTGTCTACACTAGTGATAGTATGGTTGTCTACACTAGTGATAGTGTGGTTGTCTACACTAGTGATAGCGTGGTTGTCTACACTAGTGATAGTGTGGTTGTTTACACTAGTGATAATGTGGTTGTTTACACTAGTGATAGTGTGGTTGTCTACACTAGTGATAGTGTGGTTGTCTACACTAGTGATGGGTGTGGTTGTCTACACTAGCGATAGTGTGGTTGTCTACACTAGCGATAGTGTGGTTGTCTACACTAGCGAGAGTGTGGGTGTCTACATTAGTGATAGGTGTGGTTGTCTACACTAGTGATAGTGTGGTTGTCTACACTAGCGAGAGTGTAGGTGTCTACATTAGTGATAGGTGTGGTTGTCTACACTAGTGATAGTGTGGTTGTTAACACTACTGATGGGTGTGGTTGTCTACACTAGCTACACTAGTGATGGGTGTGGTTGTCTACACTAGTGATGTGTGGTTGTCTACACTAGTGATGGGTGTTGTTGTCTACACTAGTGATGTGTGAGGTTGTCTACACTATTAATGTGTGAGGTTGTCTACACTAGCGATAGTGTGGTTGTCTACGCTAGTGATGGTGTGGTTGTCTACACTAGCGATAGTGTGGTTGTCTACACTAGCGATAGTGTGGTTGTCTACACTTGTGATGGTGTGGTTGTCTACACTAGTGATAGTGTGGTTGTCTACACTAGTGATGGATGTGGTTGTCTACACTAGTGATGGTGTGGTTGTCTACACTAGTGATGGTGTGGTTGTCTACACTAGCGATAGTGTGGTTGTCTACACTAGTGATGGATGTGGTTGTCTACACTAGTGATGGATGTGGTTGTCTACACTAGTGATGGATGTGGTTGTCTACACTAGTGATGGATGTGGTTGTCTATACTAGTGATGGATGTGGTTGTCTACACTAGTGATGGATGTGGTTGTCTACACTAGCGATAGTGTGGTTGTCTACACTAGCGATAGTGTGGTTGTCTACACTAGTGATGGTGTGGTTGTCTACACTAGCGATAGTGTGGTTGTCTACACTAGTGATGGATGTGGTTGTCTACACTAGTGATGGTGTGGTTGTCTACACTAGTGATGGTGTGGTTGTCTACACTAGTGATAGTGTGGTTGTCTACACTAGTGATGGATGTGGTTGTCTACACTAGTGATGGATGTGGTTGTCTACACTAGTGATGGATGTGGTTGTCTACACTAGTGATGGATGTGGTTGTCTATACTAGTGATGGATGTGGTTGTCTACACTAGTGATGGATGTGGTTGTCTACACTAGTGATGGATGTGGTTGTCTACACTAGTGATGGATGTGGTTGTCTACACTAGTGATGGATGTGGTTGTCTACACTAGTGATGGATGTGGTTGTCTACACACTAGTGATGGATGTGGTTGTCTACACTAGTGATGGATGTGGTTGTCTACACTAGTGATGGATGTCTACACTAGTGATGGATGTGGTTGTCTACACTAGTGATGGATGTGGTTGTCTACACTAGTGATGGATGTGGTTGTCTACACTAGTGATGGATGTGGTTGTCTACACTAGTGATGGATGTGGTTGTCTACACTAGTGATGGATGTGGTTGTCTACACTAGTGATGGATGTGGTTGTCTACACTTGTGATGGATGTGGTTGTCTACACTAGTGATGGATGTGGTTGTCTACACTAGTGATGGATGTGGTTGTCTACACTAGTGATGGATGTGGTTGTCTACACTTGTGATGGATGTGGTTGTCTACACTTGTGATGGATGTGGTTGTCTACACTAGTGATGGATGTGGTTGTCTACACTAGTGATGGATGTGGTTGTCTACACTAGTGATGGATGTGGTTGTCTACACTAGTGATGGATGTGGTTGTCTACACTAGTGATGGATGTGGTTGTCTGTAGTCTACTGGGTGACTGGTGTGTTTTACAAGCAGGACGAGTGGGTGACTGACTGGACTGTTTTTGAAGGCTTCACTCGATTTGATGGGTGATTTTCGCTCGAGAATCTTCTGCTTGTAGTATGGATTTCGCAGTTGGATTTGCCTGCAAAAAGTTTTGGAAATAATATTTGAACGTTTTTCAATAATATTTAACATAAAACTGTTCATGATAATAATTATTTTAATAATAAAAACATATGGAATCAAAAAATTAACGAATCCGGTGTAGCACTTTTGGCTTGGGGTCCCCCCCCCCATCAGTAGCATCCACAACAACAATAAAAATGGATAAATCTTGCTCAAAGACTTGATAACTCTGCAGATAAACGTAAGTGGTTGGTAGACTTTACTGAACCTGACGTTATCCCAGGTTAGTATAAGTAATTATCAAAGAAAGTCCCTAGTCAGGAGGAAGAATATGTACCACACACAAACCTTAAAAGAAACATATTAAGAATTTTGAGTTCGAATCATATGCGTGACAGAAATGTATGGGCGAGTTTCGTATCGCCTAATGCTTCTGTTCACCATGAAACAAATCGGTATGCAGAAGTTAGTCGGCTTGTTGTGGAGACGCACCCTGGGAGGGGTCACTAGTTCCACACCTGAGCTACACGTTAACACTCACCCGGTCTCGACCTCTCCCTCTACCTGTGTGTATATTACTTTTACCATACCTGCTACACCTCTAGCTGGGTGTATATCTCCGTTACCATACCTGCTTCACCTCTACCTGGGTATATATCTCCATTACCATACCTGCTACACCTCTACCTGGGTGTATATCTCCGTTACCATACCTGCTACACCTCTACCTGGGTGTATATCTCCGTTACCATACCTGCTACACCTCTACCTGGGTATATATCTCCATTACCATACCTGCTACACCTCTACCTGGGTGTATATCTCCGTTACCATACCTGCTACACCTCTAGCTGGGTGTATATCTCCATTACCATACCTGCTACACCTCTACCTGGGTGTATATCTCCATTACCATACCTGCTACACCTCTACCTGGGTGTATATCTCCGTTACCATACCTGCTACACCTCTACCTGGGTGTATATCTCCATTACCATACCTGCTACACCTCTACCTGGGTGTATATCTCCGTTACCATACCTGCTACACCTCTACCTGGGTGTATATCTCCATTACCATACCTGCTACACCTCTACCTGGGTGTATATCTCCATTACCATACCTGCTACACCTCTACCTGGGTGTATATCTCCATTACCATACCTGCTACACCTCTACCTGGGTGTATATCTCCGTTACCATACCTGCTACACCTCTACCTGGGTGTATATCTCCGTTACCATACCTGCTACACCTCTACCTGGGTGTATATCTCCGTTACCATACCTGCTACACCTCTACCTGGGTGTATATCTCCATTACCATACCTGCTACACCTCTACCTGGGTGTATATCTCCATTACCATACCTGCTACACCTCTACCTGGGTGTATATCTCCATTACCATACCTGCTACACCTCTACCTGGGTGTATATCTCCATTACCATACCTGCTACACCTCTACCTGGGTGTATATCTCCATTACCATACCTGCTACACCTCTACCTGGGTGTATATCTCCGTTACCATACCTGCTACACCTCTACCTGGGTGTATATCTCCGTTACCATACCTGCTACACCTCTACCTGGGTGTATATCTCCATTACCATACCTGCTACACCTCTACCTGGGTGTATATCTCCATTACCATACCTGCTACACCTCTACCTGGGTGTATATCTCCGTTACCATACCTGCTACACCTCTACCTGGGTGTATATCTCCATTACCATACCTGCTACACCTCTACCTGGGTGTATATCTCCATTACCATACCTGCTACACCTCTACCTGGGTGTATATCTCCGTTACCATACCTGCTACACCTCTACCTGGGTGTATATCTCCATTACCATACCTGCTACACCTCTACCTGGGTGTATATCTCCATTACCATACCTGCTACACCTCTACCTGGGTGTATATCTCCGTTACCATACCTGCTACACCTCTTCCTGTGTATATTCCTACATTAACATACCTGCTGCACCTTTATCTGAGTATATATCTCCATTAACATTCTTCTATACCTCTACCTGTGTATATCTCTATTAACGTACTTGCTACACCTCTACCTCTATATATATCAAGGCTTAACATACCTGCTATACCTCTACCCATGTATATATCTATATTAACATTCCTGCTACACCCTACGTGTATATATATCTCCAATAACGATCCTGCTACACCTCTACTTCAGTATATATCTCCATTAACATACCTCCTACACATCTACCTTTGTATATCTATATTAACATTCCCGCTACACCTCTACCTGTGTATATATATTTCCATTAACATACCTGCTACAACTCTACCTGTGTATATCTATATTAACATACCTGCTACACCCCTGCCTGTGTATACATATCAATTACCATACATGCTACACCTCTACCTATGTATATTTCTCCAGTGCCGTTATACAGGTTGTCCATTACATTCTCCATTGTCATTGTAAAGGATAACTAGCATAATGGTAGCCACCTGGATGTTGTGAAGGATAAGGACCATAATGGTAGCCACCTGGATGTTGTGAAGGATAAGGACCATAATGGTAGCCACCTGGATGTTGTGAAGGATAAGGACCATAATGGTAGCCACCTGGATGTTGTGAAGGATAAGGACCATAATGGTAGCCACCTGGATGTTGTGAAGGATGAGGACCATAATGGTAGCCACCTGGATGTTGTGAAGGATGAGGACCATAATGGTAGCCACCTGGATGTTGTGAAGGATGAGGACCATAATGGTAGCCACCTGGATGTTGTGAAGGATGAGGACCATAATGGTAGCCACCTGGATGTTGTGAAGGATGAGGATCATAATGGTAACCACCTGGATGTTGTGAAGGATGAGGATCATAATGGTAGCCACCTGAATGTTGTGAAGGATGAGGATCATAATGGTAGCCACCTGGATGTTGTGAAGGATGAGGATCATAATGGTAACCACCTGAATGTTGTGAAGGATGAGGATCATAATGGTAGCCACCTGGATGTTGTGAAGGATGAGGATCATAATGGTAACCACCTGGACGTGTTGAAGGATAAAGATCATAATGGTAGCCACCTACCATTAGGGTAGGTGGCTAAGGGTAGAAACATAATACAGGGTACAAATACACAATAATTCCTGTACTTAATGTGTATGCTCCCTCTGGCACCCGCAGGAAGAAAGAGAGGGAGGACTTGTTCTCTAACGAGTTATTATATTTTTTCAGAAATGATACGCGTAACGTTATTTTTGGTGGCGACTTTAATTGTGTCACTTCTATGAGAGATTGTAGCATTCAGTCGAACGCATGTGTATCTCCTGCTTTAATTACACTTTTGAAATGTATTGGTCTAAAGGATGCAAATAGCATTAACGAAGGTGTATATGAATACACATATGTTCGCCAGAATTATGGTTCAAGGCTTGACAGAATATATATGCACTCGTTCCATGATAAAATTAGTTCTTGCAGTACTGTTCCGGTCAGCTTTTCAGATCACTGTATGGTTGTGGTGAAGCTTGTTATTGACGATCAGGTTAAAGTGGGGACAGGGTCATGGAAGCTCAATTGCAGTCTGTTGCAGAGTAGAGATGTAATTGATAATTTTCAAGTATTGTGGGAACATCTGGTTGGGCAAAAACATAAGTTCAGATGTCTGTTGGAGTGGTGGGACACGTGTAAAGTTGCATGCAAAAGTTTCTTCGTGAAAGTATCCAAACGAAAGGCTGCTGAAAAATATGGTCTGTTAAACTTATTCCAACACAGACTAAAACAACTTTATGTAAAGGTCAATATGGGATTAGACAAGTAAGAAGAAATTACCATTTTAAAAGACAGAATTAACAAATTGAGGGATGAAATATCTGAAGGAGTCAATGTTCGCCTCCAGATTAATGATAGGATGTATGGTGAAAACCTCTCTCCTTATTTGTTAAGTAAAGTCAAGAATAACAAGGGTACAGCACTTGTGACTAGTATTAAAGCAGGCGATGGGACGGATATGACAAATACGGATGGGATTGTATATTATGTTCGGGGTGAATTAGAGAAAGTGTACAAAAAAGTGAACGTGGACCAAGGTATGCGGGAGTATTTCCTTGGAAAATGTACACGGGTTTTAACCCAGGATGACAACACGTCATTATTGGCAGATGTAGATAAGCAGGAGGTGTGGAGTGTTGTCAAGAGTTTAAAGAAAGGTAAATCACCTGGCTGTGATGGGTTCCCGGCGGAATTTTATTTCTATCTATGGGATGTCATTGGTAAAGCCTTTGTACAAGTGGTGCAGTATAGCATACAGCATAGGAAGCTTAGCATGTCACAATCTCATGGGATTATTAAGATGATACCTAAAACGGGTGATTTGCATATTCTAACGAACTGGAGGCCACTTTCCCTACTAAACCAGGATTATAAAATAGTATCGAAACTGTTGGCAAATAGACTTAGGATTGCAATGGATAAAATTATATCAAAGGAACAGTTTTGTGGTGTGCCTGGAAGATCCATAATCAATTGTAATAAAGTAATTAGGGATGTTGTGTATTATGTGTCTGAGAATAATGTTCCTTCCTCCATGATAAACCTCGACTGGTCGAAAGCCTTTGACCGTGTTGATGTTCAGTTTGCATTAGAAATATTGGATAGAGTAGGAGTGACACAAGAATTTATTGATTGGATCCGTATGCTTTATATACAGTGTCGGAGCAGCGTCTGTATCAATGGAGTCTTAAGTAAACCTTTTTCAGTTGAACGATCTGTACGTCAGGGATGTCCCCTTTCAATGATTTTGTATGTTATATTTCAAGAGCCACTGTACTTGGCAATAAAAAGCAATGACTTTATTGTCCCACTTCGTCTTCCTAATGCTATGACACTTCCTGTTGTTGATTATGCAGACGATACAACTATTTTTGTGTCTACAGACGACTCGGTGGTGAATGTTCAGAATGAGTTAGACAACTTTGAACGAGCGACAGGTGCTGTTATTAACAAGAACAAAACGTGTATGATGGGGCTTGGCAGTTGGTGTAATAAGGTTAACTGGACAGGTTCATGGTTCAAGGTTGTGGAGTCTATTAAAGCTCTTGGGATTTGCTGGTGTAAGACATATGAAACAACATTGGTTACGAATTGGCAGGTACTATGTGGGAATATAATAGTTGCAACGAATATGTTGTCAAATAGGAAATTGACCGTTTCAGAAGGCTGTAATAATCAATTGCAAAATTTTGTCTAAAGTGTGGTATTTGACTCACAGCTTTCCCATAGACAAGAAAAGTGCTATAGAGATTGACAAAACTATTTTTAGATATGTATGGTATGGTAGATACCAGCCAATTAAACGAACTACTCTATGTAAAGGTAAGAAAAACGGTGGAATAGGAATACTGAATGTGTACCATAAGTCATTGGCAATCTTATGTGTTACTTTTAGAAAGGAGATAATGCAAAGGAATAGTGTAAATGCACTAGGACATTACTATTGTAAAATACGTGTTAGCTATTTGATACATATGCCAGAGTATACTGACCTTGCCTTTATTTCACCGCACTTTTATTCATGTGCAATTGATGTTCTCAGGCGGATTTGTAATATTGAAGGTTTTTAATGATGAACAGTAAACAAGTGTATGATGTTATACTACCAAATATAGTTCCTAGAGTAGAGGAGGCATATCCACTCTTTAGCTGGCAAGTAATATGGGCAAACCTTCATGTTAAATTTATTGCCCCAAAACAACGTGAGCTGTTGTATCGCTATATTCATGAGACCCTCCCTACTAATGATAGGTTGTTGATGTTGGACATTAAGGACAACAATAGGTGTGATCAATGTACTGAATTTGAAAATAATATGCATATATTTTATTTCTGTAAGCAGAAAGTTGTTCTTGTAAACTGGATTAGAGACACTCTTAAAGCTTTATGTGGACCAAGTATTAGAGTGGAGTTAATGAGGTTTTTAATGTTTCATATTGACATAAAATGCAAGAAAATTAGGAATACAATAATTATGTTACTTTCTGGTTACATTTTTTGTGTGTGGATAGGCAGGCAGGAAGGTTACTCAGTAGACAAAATATTGAAGTTCTTGCGAGGCAGGATCAGGTATAACATTTGGGGTTTACGGCTCATGCTCGGTGATGATATGGAAAATTGGTTTACTGAGAACTATATAAAATATATATAAATGTAATAATTTCCCCTGTATTTTAATGTAAATTTATTCTCTAATTTTTGTAAATCGTTTATAGGTAAATAAGTATATCATTCAGTTTTTTTTAAAGATCTTGTTCTGTACTACTGAAACACTTGTTCACTAAGAATTGTAATGTATAATTGCCTTGTAACACTTATGTATATGTAATTTATATTGTATTTTTTTAAATAAAGATAAAAAAAAATATTGGGATCGTCTCAAATCTCTCCAAATGTACTCACAAGAAAGGAGACGAGAGATACCAAATAATATATACATGGAAAATCCTGCAGGGAAAAGTCCCAAATCTGCATAGTAAAATAACAACGTACTGGAGTGAACGATATGGAAGAAAATGCAGAATAGAACCAGTGAAGAGCAGAGGTGCCATAGGCACAATCAGAGAACACTGTATAAACATCAGAGGTCCGCGGTTGTTCAACGTCCTACCAGCGAGCATCAGAAATATTGCTGGAACAACCGTGGACATCTTCAGAGAAAACTAGATTGTTTTCTTCAAGGAGTGCCGGACCAACCGGGCTGTGGTGGGTATGTGGGCCTGCGGGCCGCTCCAAGCAACAGCCTGGTGGACCAAACTCTCACAAGTCGAGCCTGGCCTCGGGCCGGGCTTGGGGTTTTCGGAGTTGTTCTACTCCCCATCAAACAGGTACCTGGATGTTGTGAACGATAAGGATCATTATGGTAGCCACCTGGATGTTGTGATGGATAAGGATAATAACAGTAGCCACCTGGAAGTTGTGGTGGATAAGGACCATAATGGAAGCCACCTGGATGTTGTGATGGATAACTAGCATAATTGTAGTCACCTGGATGTTGTGAAGGATATGGACCATATTTGTAACCACCTGGATGTTGTGAAGGATAAGGATAACATAATGGTAGCCACCTGGATGTTGTGAAGGGTAAGGACCATAATGGTAGTAACCTGGATGTTGTGAAGGATAAGGATAACATAATGGTAGCCACCTGGATGCTGGAAGTGCCTGGAGCAGCTGGTTCACCACCTGGGATCTCTTCTTCCAGTCCTGGGAGGAGACAACACTATTGTTGCCATAGTTAGCAGTGTAGTACCACTCTCCCCACTTCCCGATGAAGCCGGCCTGGAGCACTGCTATCACCCCTGCATGTTTCTGCAACATAACGTGCAACACTCACTTTTATCACCCTAGAATACGACTGCAACATAACGTGCAACACTCACTGCTATCACTCCTGCATACTTCTGAAACAATACGTGAACATTAACTGTTATCACCCCTGCATACGTCTGCAAAAATGCTCACTGTAATCTCCCTGCAGACTCAGCTGAGCATTCATTCAGTCTACGACGCCTTGCCGTGCAGGTGTGGGCTATTGGTACTCCTCCAACAGCATTACCGTGCAGTTGTGGGCTAGTGGCTCTTCTACAACAGCATTACCGTGCAGTTGTGGGCTAGTGACACTCCTCCAACAGCCTTACCGTGCAGGTGTGGACTAGTGGCACTCCTCCAACAGCCTTACCGTGCAGGTGTGGAGTAGTGGCACTCCTCCAACAGCCTCACCGTGCAGGTGTGGACTAGTGGCACTCCTCCAACAGCCTTACCGTGCAGGTGTGGACTAGTGGCACTCCTCCAACAGCCTTACCGTGCAGGTGTGGACTAGTGGCACTCCTCCAACAGCCTTACCGTGCAGGTGTGGACTAGTGGCACTCCTCCAACAGCCTTACCGTGCAGGTGTGGACTAGTGGCACTCCTCCAACAGCCTTACCGTGCAGGTGTGGACTAGTGGCACTCCTCCAACAGCCTTACCGTGCAGGTGTCGACTAGTGGCACTCCTCCAACAGTCTTACCGTGCAGGTGTGGACTAGTGGCACTCCTCCAACAGCCTTACCGTGCAGGTGTGGACTAGTGGCACTCCTCCAACAGCCTTACCGTGCAGGTGTGGACTAGTGGCACTCCTACAAAAGCCTTACCGTGCAGGTGTGGACTAGTGGCACTCCTACAACAACCTTACCGTGCAGGTGTGGACTAGTGGCACTCATACAAAAGCCTTACCGTGCAGGTGTGGACTAGTGGCACTCCTACAAAAGCCTTACCGTGCAGGTGTGGACTAGTGGCACTCCTCCAACAGCCTTACCGTGCAGGTGTGGACTAGTGGCACTCCTACAAAAGCCTTACCGTGCAGGTGTGGACTAGTGGCACTCCTACAACAACCTTACCGTGCAGGTGTGGACTAGTGGCACTCCTACAAAAGCCTTACCGTGCAGGTGTGGACTAGTGGCACTCCTACAAAAGCCTTACCGTGCAGGTGTGGACTAGTGGCACTCCTCCAACAGCCTTACCGTGCAGGTGTGGACTAGTGGCACTCCTCCAACAGCCTTACCGTGCAGGTGTGGACTAGTGGCACTCCTCCAACAGCCTTACCGTGCAGGTGTGGACTAGTGGCACTCCTCCAACAGCCTTACCGTGCAGGTGTGGACTAGTGGCACTCCTCCAACAGCCTTACCGTGCAGGTGTAGACTAGTGGCACTCCTCCAACAGCCTTACCGTGCAGGTGTCGACTAGTGGCACTCCTCCAACAGTCTTACCGTGCAGGTGTGGACTAGTGGCACTCCTCCAACAGCCTTACCGTGCAGGTGTGGACTAGTGGCACTCCTCCAACAGCCTTACCGTGCAGGTGTGGACTAGTGGCACTCCTACAAAAGCCTTACCGTGCAGGTGTGGACTAGTGGCACTCCTACAACAACCTTACCGTGCAGGTGTGGACTAGTGGCACTCATACAAAAGCCTTACCGTGCAGGTGTGGACTAGTGGCACTCCTACAAAAGCCTTACCGTGCAGGTGTGGACTAGTGGCACTCCTCCAACAGCCTTACCGTGCAGGTGTGGACTAGTGGCACTCCTACAAAAGCCTTACCGTGCAGGTGTGGACTAGTGGCACTCCTACAACAACCTTACCGTGCAGGTGTCGACTAGTGGCACTCCTCCAACAGTCTTACCGTGCAGGTGTGGACTAGTGGCACTCCTCCAACAGCCTTACCGTGCAGGTGTGGACTAGTGGCACTCCTCCAACAGCCTTACCGTGCAGGTGTGGACTAGTGGCACTCCTACAAAAGCCTTACCGTGCAGGTGTGGACTAGTGGCACTCCTACAACAACCTTACCGTGCAGGTGTGGACTAGTGGCACTCATACAAAAGCCTTACCGTGCAGGTGTGGACTAGTGGCACTCCTACAAAAGCCTTACCGTGCAGGTGTGGACTAGTGGCACTCCTCCAACAGCCTTACCGTGCAGGTGTGGACTAGTGGCACTCCTACAAAAGCCTTACCGTGCAGGTGTGGACTAGTGGCACTCCTACAACAACCTTACCGTGCAGGTGTGGACTAGTGGCACTCCTACAAAAGCCTTACCGTGCAGGTGTGGACTAGTGGCACTCCTACAAAAGCCTTACCGTGCAGGTGTGGACTAGTGGCACTCCTCCAACAGCCTTACCGTGCAGGTGTGGACTAGTAGCACTCCTCCAACAGCCTTACCGTGCAGGTGTGGACTAGTGGCACTCCTCCAACAGCCTTACCGTGCAGGTGTGGACTAGTGGCACTCCTCCAACAGCCTTACCGTGCAGGTGTGGACTAGTGGCACTCCTCCAACAGCCTTACCGTGCAGGTGTCGACTAGTGGCACTCCTCCAACAGTCTTACCGTGCAGGTGTGGACTAGTGGCACTCCTCCAACAGCCTTACCGTGCAGGTGTGGACTAGTGGCACTCCTCCAACAGCCTTACCGTGCAGGTGTGGACTAGTGGCACTCCTACAAAAGCCTTACCGTGCAGGTGTGGACTAGTGGCACTCCTACAACAACCTTACCGTGCAGGTGTGGACTAGTGGCACTCATACAAAAGCCTTACCGTGCAGGTGTGGACTAGTGGCACTCCTACAAAAGCCTTACCGTGCAGGTGTGGACTAGTGGCACTCCTCCAACAGCCTTACCGTGCAGGTGTGGACTAGTGGCACTCCTACAAAAGCCTTACCGTGCAGGTGTGGACTAGTGGCACTCCTACAACAACCTTACCGTGCAGGTGTCGACTAGTGGCACTCCTCCAACAGTCTTACCGTGCAGGTGTGGACTAGTGGCACTCCTCCAACAGCCTTACCGTGCAGGTGTGGACTTGTGGCACTCCTCCAACAGCCTTACCGTGCAGGTGTGGACTAGTGGCACTCCTACAAAAGCCTTACCGTGCAGGTGTGGACTAGTGGCACTCCTACAACAACCTTACCGTGCAGGTGTGGACTAGTGGCACTCATACAAAAGCCTTACCGTGCAGGTGTGGACTAGTGGCACTCCTACAAAAGCCTTACCGTGCAGGTGTGGACTAGTGGCACTCCTCCAACAGCCTTACCGTGCAGGTGTGGACTAGTGGCACTCCTACAAAAGCCTTACCGTGCAGGTGTGGACTAGTGGCACTCCTACAACAACCTTACCGTGCAGGTGTGGACTAGTGGCACTCCTACAAAAGCCTTACCGTGCAGGTGTGGACTAGTGGCACTCCTACAAAAGCCTTACCGTGCAGGTGTGGACTAGTGGCACTCCTCCAACAGCCTTACCGTGCAGGTGTGGACTAGTGGCACTCCTCCAACAGCCTTACCGTGCAGGTGTGGACTAGTGGCACTCCTCCAACAGCCTTACCGTGCAGGTGTGGACTAGTGGCACTCCTCCAACAGCCTTACCGTGCAGGTGTGGACTAGTGGCACTCCTCCAACAGCCTTACCGTGCAGGTGTGGACTAGTGGCACTCCTCCAACAGCCTTACCGTGCAGGTGTCGACTAGTGGCACTCCTCCAACAGTCTTACCGTGCAGGTGTGGACTAGTGGCACTCCTCCAACAGCCTTACCGTGCAGGTGTGGACTAGTGGCACTCCTCCAACAGCCTTGCCGTGCAGGTGTGGACTAGTGGCACTCCTACAAAAGCCTTACCGTGCAGGTGTGGACTAGTGGCACTCCTACAACAACCTTACCGTGCAGGTGTGGACTAGTGGCACTCATACAAAAGCCTTACCGTGCAGGTGTGGACTAGTGGCACTCCTACAAAAGCCTTACCGTGCAGGTGTGGACTAGTGGCACTCCTCCAACAGCCTTACCGTGCAGGTGTGGACTAGTGGCACTCCTACAAAAGCCTTACCGTGCAGGTGTGGACTAGTGGCACTCCTACAACAACCTTACCGTGCAGGTGTGGACTAGTGGCACTCCTACAAAAGCCTTACCGTGCAGGTGTGGACTAGTGGCACTCCTACAAAAGCCTTACCGTGCAGGTGTGGACTAGTGGCACTCCTCCAACAGCCTTACCGTGCAGGTGTGGACTAGTGGCACTCCTACAAAAGCCTTACCGTGTAGGTGTGGACTAGTGGCACTCCTCCAACAGCCTTACCGTGCAGGTGTGGACTAGTGGCACTCCTACAAAAGCCTTACCCGTAGGAGAGGTGTTAACTGCTGTATATGGGTCGCCAGTTGAGCGGGCGTGGCGTCGTTGCTGTTTTTGAGGGAGTAGCAGAACCTCAACACCACCTGCAACACCAGTCTCTGTAAACACCTTTATCAAGCTCAGCACTGTGGTGAAGGAGAGGCAATACTGCTTGCAACATCGTAGTCATCACAGAAGTTAAGATATGATGTCGAATATTTAAAAACTTAAATAATCAATAGAAATAACTACAAAGGAAGATGAGACATTGGTAAAACACAGCACATCCATCTCACACAACCAAATATCAACAGCCAGACAACACTCAGATTCACTCTACCATCTTCAAGACCGAGACACAACTCCACCATACTGCTCCAGTAACCATAGTAACTAAGGTAGTGAGGAGGATGAAGAACAAGGTGAATACTGTGATTAGATACCTATCAACGACTAGTTAAAGCGGTGTGCTGTATGGTGAGGTCTGGTGCTGTATGGTGAGGTCTGGTGCTGTATGGTGAGGTCTGGTGGTGTATGGTGAGGTCTGGTGGTGTATGGTGAGGTCTGGTGGTGTATGGTGAGGTCTGGTGGTGTATGGTGAGGTCTGGTGGTGTATGGTGAGGTCTGGTGGTGTATGGTGAGGTCTGGTGCTGTATGGTGAGGTCTGGTGCTGTATGGTGAGGTCTGGTGCTGTATGGTGAGGTCTGGTGCTGTATGGTGAGGTCTGGTGCTGTATGGTGAGGTCTGGTGGTGTATGGTGAGGTCTGGTGGTGTATGGTGAGGTCTGGTGGTGTATGGTGAGGTCTGGTGCTGTATGGTGAGGTCTGGTGCTGTATGGTGAGGTCTGGTGGTGTATGGTGAGGTCTGGTGGTGTATGGTGAGGTCTGGTGGTGTATGGTGAGGTCTGGTGGTGTATGGTGAGGTCTGGTGCTGTATGGTGAGGTCTGGTGCTGTATGGTGAGGTCTGGTGGTGTATGGTGAGGTCTGGTGGTGTATGGTGTGGTCTGGTGGTGTATGGTGAGGTCTGGTGGTGTATGGTGAGGTCTGGTGGTGTATGGTGAGGTCTGGTGGTGTATGGTGAGGTCTGGTGCTGTATGGTGAGGTCTGGTGCTGTATGGTGAGGTCTGGTGGTGTATGGTGAGGTCTGGTGGTGTATGGTGAGGTCTGGTGGTGTATGGTGAGGTCTGGTGGTGTATGGTGAGGTCTGGTGGTGTATGGTGAGGTCTGGTGGTGTATGGTGAGGTCTGGTGCTGTATGGTGAGGTCTGGTGCTGTATGGTGAGGTCTGGTGCTGTATGGTGAGGTCTGGTGCTGTATGGTGAGGTCTGGTGCTGTATGGTGAGGTCTGGTGCTGTATGGTGAGGTCTGGTGCTGTATGGTGAGGTCTGGTGCTGTATGGTGAGGTCTGGTGCTGTATGGTGAGGTCTGGTGCTGTATGGTGAGGTCTGGTGCTGTATGGTGAGGTCTGGTGCTGTATGGTGAGGTCTGGTGCTGTATGGTGAGGTCTGGTGCTGTATGGTGAGGTCTGGTGCTGTATGGTGAGGTCTGGTGCTGTATGGTGAGGTCTGGTGCTGTATGGTGAGGTCTGGTGGTGTATGGTGAGGTCTGGTAGTGTATGATGAAGTCTGGTGCTGTATGGTGAGGTCTGGTGGTGTATGGTGAGGTCTGGTGGTGTATGGTGAGGTCTGGTGGTGTATGGTGAGGTCTGGTAGTGTATGATGAAGTCTGGTGCTGTATGGTGAGGTCTGGTGGTGTATGGTGAAGTCTGGTGGTGTATGGTGAGGTCTGGTGGTGTATGGTGAGGTCTGGTGCTGTATGGTGAGGTCTGGTGATGCTCTGTTATATCACACTCAGGTACTGTTATTTCACACTCGGGTACTGTTATATCACACTCAGGTACTGTTATTTCACACTCAGGTACTGTTATTTCACACTCAGGTACTGTTATTTCACACTCGGGTACTGTTATATCACACTCAGGTACTGTTATTTCACACTCAGGTACTGTTATATCACACTCAGGTACTGTTATTTCACACTCGGGTACTGTTATATCACACTCAGGTACTGTTATATCACACTCAGGTACTGTTATATCACACTCAGGTACTGTTATTTCACACTCAGGTACTGTTATTTTACACTCGGGTACTGTTATATCACACTCAGGTACTGTTATTTCACACTCAGGTACTGTTATTTCACACTCAGGTACTGTTATTTCCCACTCGGGTACTGTTATTTCACACTCGGGTACTGTTATATCACACTCAGGTACTGTTATTTCACACTCGGGTACTGTTATTTCACACTCGGGTACTGTTATATCACACTCAGGTACTGTTATTTCACACTAAGGAGTAGTAGGGATGGCAGTCCACACGATATTTTCCCCCGATTTTTTTTTGGGGGAAAATATCGTGTGTGGACTGCCAGGGTTTTCAGGAGAATTTGGCTAGTCACAGATTTGGGATTAAGGAATTCTTATGAGGAAAATAATTTCTGAGATTTTAGAGGTTTGTTAAGCGTTCTTATGAGGAAAATAAGTAGGAAAATCTTATATAAAAATTATAGAAAAAAGGGTCGATATGTCACAGCATTTCCAGGAAAACTCTACAGTCAACCTATGCCTGTTTTCAATAACCGAACTTTGGAAAAAAGGGCCGATTTGGAGTTAAAGGTTTTTTATGGGGGAAATTCAAATTTTTCAGAGTTCAGTTTTAAGAAAATATTTCAGAGTTTCAAATAATCATAGAAGTTTATTTATATGTTTAAGACCGAATTTTGTGAAAAGACCATTTTCAGAAAATATTGTCTTAGACCTTTTGTTAATGAAAACAGCCATCTTAGCCATGACATTTAGTTTTATATGCATTTAAGACCGAAAATTAGCCAAACCAGTTTCTGCTCAAAATTCGTCAGAGTCCACTTTGTTAGCAAAATTCTTCAGAGTCCAGTTTATGCCTGAAATAATCAGAGTCTAGTTTTAGCCAGAAAATTAACAGAGTCCAATTAACAACAGAAATTCGTCAGAGTCCTGTAATCTACCAAAATTTGTCACACTTTGTGAGCAAAATTCATCAGAGTCCATTTTCAACCATTTTTCATCAGAGTCCAGTTTTTACCCGAAAATGATCAGAGTCCAATTATCAACAGAAATTCATCAGAGTCCATTTTATACCCAAAAATAATCAGAGTCCAATTGAAGACCCAAATTTGACAGAGACCACATTTTCGCTACTAGCAGTCCAATCCCCTGAAATTTTAAAGTCATATTTTGGTCGTAGTAAATAAGATCAAGTCAGTTACTGAGCTCCAGCTCTCGTCCCCCGCCCTACTTCCCCCTCAAGTCTTTGTTAATATCCTATCAATTTCCCTGAAATTTTTACCCTCTGTATTTCAGACATAGTAAATATGATGTAAACAATTATAAAACTCTAGCTCTTGTCCTCTGTCCATGTTCACTCCTGTAAATTCACTACTATCAGTCCAAATTCCCCGGAGATTTAAACACCCAACTACATTTTCAGACATAGTAAATAAAAGCCAGTTCAGTTACCGAGTTTCAACTCTTGTTCCCCGCTTATCTCATTTTTGTACAAGTTCTTTATTATCCAACTAAATCACCTGAGATTTAAGATCACCTTACTTCTAACGTAGTAAAATTAATCAGGACATTAGCCAAGCTCCATTTCCTCAGTCTTAGATCATCGAACATAAATATATCCGATCAAGTCCCTCTCCAGCCTAACTCTTTATCAGAGTAATCACCTTACCCTTTCCCTCCCTTACCTTCTCATCCCCAACGTATCCAAACCTTCAATAATCATACTGTATTTGCATATTTTCTCTATATTCAGCTGTGTTCTTCACATTTTTTCCACGTTTTCTGTGTTCACTCTATGTTCTACAAATGTTCACAGCATGCTCAGTTCATATTTTTTCACCTGTTTTTTCTCAATTTTTCTGTTTTCTACCATTTTCCCCGTATATTCACTATGTTCTTTGTCATGTTTTCATGTACATCATATGTTCTCTGTACAACGTTTTATACTCAATATTCCTGTTCTCAATGTTCTTAGCTTGTTCTTCACACGTTCAGTGTTCATTATTTGTATTCCCTATGTTCCTTATCATGTCTTCATATTCTCTTTAGGTTCATATTCCCTGCATGTTCACTGTGTTCATCAACTTTTTCTTACATGTTTTCTGTGTTCATCGTATGTTCACTGTGTTCATTTCCTTACTTAAACCTAACAAGAGGTTAGGTTAAGGGGTTGGGGAATAAGAACATATGATAGAACCTACTAAATACACTAAGATTACAAGAGGTTAGGTTAAGGGGTTGGGGAATAAGAACAAATGATAACCAACATAATGAATACAACTTATGAGCAACTTTATGAACTTTAACAAATAACCCTTGATCTGCAAAAATGACCATTTGAGAAATTAGCTCTTGAAACGAGTAAATTCCCATATATAACAAAAATCCTTTGAAATGGTTAAATACCCAATCTTAAACAAATAACACTTGAAATGCCTTCGGAACATTGCAGGAAGCTGATATGAAGCTGTTCTTTCTGCAAATTGGAGAGCAAGTCTCTCAGCCTCCTGCAATGGTTGAATACATGCCTGTGGCCGGGCTGGTCGACCTGATATAGTTTTAATCTGACCCCATATCTTGCCAAGACTACTATGTTCATTTAGAGTTTGACACCACTCAAACAATCTTGTCTCCTTTACTTCTTTAGAAACTCGTCTTGCTTCAGATATCACCGCTCTTAGCAAAGTTCTTCCTTCTGGTGTGGGGGTTTCTCTTTAGATGTTTTCTGAAGATGTTGACTCTGTGGTTCTGTTCTTTAACGTCATTACTATAGAACCAATAGTTCTTTCGTTTTGTGTTTCCTGTGATAATGATTGGAATAGCTTTGTTTGCAGCAGCTGCAATGGCTTCCTGCAGATTGGTCTCGTGTATGTTCAAATCCTCAGGTGGCGTGTACGATGCATACCATTTTTCAAGTTCTTCTTGGTATATATTCCAATTGGCCTTTCTTAAATTCCACCGAGGCTGTGCAGGTGGTGTAGGAGGTCGTGCCAGGTTTAGTGTCGTGACAGTAGCATAGTGGTCACTGGTGATCACCGGGTCTACTTCCCACTTCGCCTGATGCTTGAGTGCTGTTGAGATGAATGTAAGATCAAGGGAACCTCCTAGAACGTGAGTGGGTTCCCCAGTGTTGAGAAGTGTAATTTCAGGTACTTCTCGCAGAGCTGCAGCTAAATGGCGCCCATCTGCATTGGCTGGCCCAGTCGCACCTAACTCTTGATGATGAGCATTAAAATCACCAGCAATGATTACATTTTCCTGCGTGGCCAAGGCAAGCACTGCCTCTGCTTCTAGTTTACGTCTAGGGGGCTTGTAGACGTTGTATATGAGGAGCTCAATATTAGCCATATTCACTGTCTATTTTCTTGCTGGGTATGGCGTTCCTGACTAGGGTCATTAACCCTCTTTGTCTCCCCTACTCATACGGTATAACATAGTGCTGATATCCAGCTAATCTGAAGGATTTCGTGGCTGGGAAAAAAGTTTCTTCCAAAACGATTATATCTGCTTTCGTGCTGATTGCAGCCTCCTGAAGTGTGTGGTTTTTATTTCCAAGACCTTGTATGTTCCACTGCAGTATTCGTAATGGCCAGACGACGGGTTCGGTCGGTGTTGCCGGTTCTACTAGAACTCCTCTTCGGAATCGACCTCTATATTCTCCACCTCGCAAGTCGTGTCGCTGCAAATCGGACTGCATTGATTGTTCGTGGTCATCCCCGGCGTTGTTGGAATCTGTGCATAACTGTGGTCCATCGCTTTGTTGTTGGTATTGCTGCATGTCGGACTGCATTGATTGCTCGTGGCTGTTTCTTGTGTTGGTGGAACCTGTGCATCTCTGCTGTTCAATACGTCTTTGTTGGTGTTGTTGCATATCAGACTGCATTGGCTGTTGTTGTCTGTCTCTTGTGTTGTAAGATTCTGTTGATCTTGGGTGGTCACTGCTTCTTGCAGTTGCTGTTGTGAATGTTGATGTTCTGGTGTCTTGACTACCCGACTGTTGTTGGTAGTCTGTATATCCAAGTTGCGTTGTTTGTCCTCGCGTGCTCCATCCTGTCGGAGACTGTCTATTTTTGTGTAACTGTGGTCTGCTGCACGATCTTGTTCATTATCACGCAAGTGATTTCTTGAGTCTGTTGTTGTGAGGAGTTCTGCGTCACCTGTAGGCAATTGATAATGGTCTCTGCCATGATCTTCACGATGTTTTCCAGCTGGACCTTGGAAAAACTGTATATCTGTTGTGTTGATTCTGAAAGTAATTGTTTTCTGCTCTTTTGCATTTGCTGTATTTCTGCAGCACTTTTGTGTATTTTCTGATTTGGAATTAATAGATTCGGGAAATTTTGCTCTGTGAGAGTGTGTGTCTGTTGTGGCTGTGCACGAGTGTTCCAGACGTTGGTGTTGGTGTATGTGGTGCTGGTCTGTGTGTTTATCCTGGCCTGAACTGTCTGCACTTTTTCTTTCCGTGCAGAGCAGGTTGTGCTCCAGGCATGATGTTTGCCTCCACAATTTGGACATTTGGCTGTTGTGGTCTGGTTTGCCTTGTGCTTGGCAATACAGTCTTTGGTTGGATGTCTCAGGCTGCACACTCCGCACCTCTCCTGTCCTGTGCAGCGTGATTGATGGTGGCCGTATCTAACCATATTGTGTTAATCTGACCATATTGTGTTAATCTCACCATATTGTGTTAATCTCACCATACCTGCATGCAAGACAATCTCACCATATTGTGTTAAGCTCACCATGCAAGACAGTGCAACCATATTGTGTTCAGCTCACCGTATTGTGTTCAGCTCACAATATTGTGTTCAGCTCACAATATTATGTTCAGCTCACAATATTGTGTTCAGCTCACCATACCTTCATGCCAGCATTCCTTAAGGTGATGAAGTCTTTAGTGATCTTCTGTAAGATGTCTGAGGAGAGGTTCCTTTTGACAAATTTGTCCAGAACGATGTACCTGCAAGGTTAAGACCACATAAGATAAACTTCTTTACACAAAGAATGTCACTGTGTTTAAGAGTTCTTGTTCTGTTTACTGTGAGTCAATAGTGTTCATGGGTTGTATCCTGTGAGTGAATAGTTTTTCGTACTCACCTAATTGTGCTTGCGGGGGTTGAACTTTGGCTCTTTGGTCCCCCCTCTCAACTGTCAATCAACTGGTGTACAGATTCCTGAGCCTACTGGGCTCTATCATATCTACATTTAAAACTGTGTATGGAGTCAGCCTCCACCACATCTCTGCCTAATGCATTCCACCTGTTAACTTTTCTGACACTGAAAAAGTTCTTTCTAACGTTCCTGTGGCTCATTTGGGTACTCAGTTTCCACCTGTGTCCCCTTGTTCGCGTACCGCCAGTGTTGAATAGTATATTCTTGTCTACCCTGTCAATTCCCCTGAGGATTTTGTAGGTAGTGATCATATTTTCCCTCACCCTTCTGTCTTCCAGTGTCGTAAGGTGCATTTCCCACAGTCTTTCCTCGTAACTCATGCCTCTTAGTTCTGGGACCAGTCTAGTGGCATACCTCTGAACTTTTTCCAGCTTCGTCTTGTGCTTGACAAGGTACGGGCTCCATGCTGGGGCCGCATACTCCAGGAATGGTCTTACGTATGTGGTGTACAAGAATCTAAACGATTCCTCACACAGGTTCCTGAATGCTGTTCTGATGTTAGCCAGCCTCGCATATGCCGCAGACGTAATTCTTTTTATGTGGGCTTCAGGAGACAGGTTTGGTGTGATATCAATTCCTAGATCTTTCTCTCTTTCCGTTTCATTAAGTACTTCATCTCCTATTCTGTGTCTTGTGTCTGGCCTCCTGTTACCACCGCCTAGTTTCATTACTTTGCATTTACTCGGGTTAAACTTTAACAGCCATTTGTTGGACCATTCATTCAGTCTGTCTAGGTCGTCCTGTAGCCTCCTACTATCATCCTCTGTTTCAATCCTCCTCATAATTTTTTGCATCATCAGCAAACATTGATAGAAACGATTCTATACTCTCTTGGAAATCATTTACATATATCAGAAACAGTATTGGTCCAAGGACAGAACCTTGCGAGACTCCACTTGTGACGTCACGCCAATCAATGGCGCCTCACGCGTCACAATCACGCCTCACAATGACTCGTTGTCTTCTGTTACTTAGGTACTCTCTTATCCAGCGGAGTACCTTCCCTTTCACTCCAGCCTGCATCTCCAGCTTTTTCACTAGCCTCTTGTGTGGTACTGTATCAAAGACTTTTTGACAATCCAAAAATATGCAGTCTGCCCACCCCTCTCTTTCTTGCCTGATTTTTTGTTGCCTGGTTGTAGAATTCAATTAGCCCTGTGAGGCAGGACTTGTCATCCCTGAACCCATGTTGATGCTGCGTTACAAAGTTCTTTCGTTCTAGGTGCTCCACTAGCTTTCTTCGCACAATCTTCTCCATCAGCTTGCATGGTATGCAGGTTAGGGACACTGGCCTGTAGTTCAGTGCCTCCTGCCTATCCCCTTTCTTGTATATTGGAACTACATTAGCTGCCTTCCAAATTTCTGGCAGTTCCCCTGTTTCCAGTGATTTGTTATACACTATGGAGAGTGACAGGCACAGTGCTTCTGCTCTTTCCCTTAGTATCCAAGGGGAGATTCCATCTGGGCCTATAGCCTTTGTCACGTCCAACTCTAGTAAACACTTCTTTACTTCCCCGCTGGTAATCTCAAACTCTTCTAGTGGTTCCTGGGTAACTATTCTCTCTCTTATCTCTGGAATCTCTCCTTGCTCTGAGGTGAAGACCTCCTGGAATTTCTTATTCAGTTCCTCACACACTTCCTTGTCGTTTGTAGTGAATCCTTCTGCCCCTATCCTTATATTCATAACCTTTTCCTTTACTGTTGTTTTTCTCCTGATGTGAATATGCAGCAATTTGGGTTTAGTCTTTGCCTTGCTTGCGATGTCAATTTCGTATTGTCTTTCTGCCTCTTTTCTCATCCTGACATATTCATTCCTGGCACTCTGATATCTTTCTCTGCTCTCAAGTGTCCTGTTATTCCTATAGTTTCTCCATGTCCTATTAGTTTGCTGCTTAGCTAGCCTACATCTCTGATTAAACCATGGGTTTCTCATCTACATTTCATTGGTTTCCTTTTGAACTGGGATAAACTTGTTCGCTGCTTCCTTGCACTTGTGCGTGATGAAGTCTATCATGTCCTGGGCCGTCTTTCCCCTAAGCTCTGTTTCCCATGTCATATCTGTTAGGAATTTTCTTAACTCCTCATAGTTTCCCTTTTGAAATGCTATTTTTTTGTTTTCAGTACCCCTCCTCCAGTTCAATAACCCTTCCTCAACCAGATACTCAAACTCCAGTACACTGTGGTCGCTCATTCCTACTGGAGCCTCATAGCTGATTTCCCCTATGTCGGAGTCGTTCAGAGTGAAGACTAGGTCGAGTCTCGCTGGTTCGTCGTTTCCTCTTATCCTAGTGCGTTCCCTGACATGTTGTCTTAGAAAGTTTCTTGTCACCACCTCCATTAGTTTGGCTCTCCATGTATCCTCTCCTCCATGCGGTTCCTTGTTCTCCCAGTCTATCTTTCCGTGATTGAAGTCTCCCATGATGGGCAGATGGGATCTATTTCTACAGGCCGCAGTGGCTGCCTTCTCAATTATAGTGTTAACTGCCATGTTGTTGTTGTCATACTCTTGCCTTCCCAGTTCCAAGTGGTTGTCATAGCCAGGGGGTGGTAATGGGGGACGAGCTCCCATGACCTATAAAATGCTCCTATACGGCATGCGTCTCCAATAGCCTCTGACAACCAAGTCCAACTCCTGGCCTGCACGGGTGGCTTAGTCGTTAAGTCCGGCGGAACTGCTTTTATCGACAGGAGAAGGGGCGAGGGCGTGCCTCTGGCGCCTTAAAACCAGCTGCTCCGGGTAGATGGGACTCGATAGCCTGGGAAGGCAGCCCATCTAGGGGAAGGAAAACCCTGATTTTAAACCTCTGCTGCCTTTCGGTCATACCCGTTTTTTGGAAAAGGCTTCAGGAGTTAACCTCGAGGAAAAATCCGGAGTTGGAGCCCCTAAGGCAGTTCGTTGTTGACGTCGACCTCGTTCTGGCAGCTCCTGCGACGTTGCTGGAACCATGTGTATTGGCATTTTGGATAATTTCATCAACGTGGAGAGGGGGGACCTGCTGCATGGGTAACAGCTTCTCCTCCATATCTACCTACCCAGGCTTTGTGCCCTGTCAGGGCACAACTCGATAGTCTTTAGACTGAAGGATGCCTACTACTCTTGCCTTGGTGTTCTGTCATTTGGTGGAGGGTTATATATCACTGCTACTACTACTTTTGGTCCTCCCAATGTCATGGTTCCTGTTATGTAGTCTCTGAATCCCTCACATCCCGGGATGATCGTCTCCTTGAAGCTCCATTCCTTTCTCATTAGTAGGGCCACTCCACTTCCTCCCCGTCCTTCCGTCTCTTTCCTTTTTACAGTATAGTTCTGGGGAAACACCGCATTTGTTATGATACCTGAGAGTTTTGTTTCTGTGAGTCCGATTATATCTGGGTTCACTTCTTGTGTTCTTTCCCCGTAGTTCACTTGCCCTGCTGCTGATCCCATCTATGTTCGAGTACATCACCCTTAACCTGACTCTCTTCTGTCCTTTCTCAGATCCTATTGCTTCCCTTGAAGCAGGGAAACAGGGAGGGACCAGGATGGATGGGGGGGGGGGGGGCTATGAAGGGGGACCTGGGGGGTATGGGGTGTGCGGGGGTTGGGAGGATCTGGTACGGGGAGGGTGGTGTAGGAGGGAGGGTTTGGGGGGGTTGGGGAGAAAAGTGGTCTTGGGGGGTGGGTGAGCAGGGGAGGCTTGGGGAAGGGGTGAAAGGGGGAGGCTTTGGAGAGTGTGGGAGAAGTTGGGGCTTAGGGGGGTATGGGAGGAGGGAGGGCTTGGGGGAATGAGAAGGAATGGGGGGCTTGGGGGGGCATAAAAGGAAAGAGGGCTTGGGGGGGGGAAGGTTGTGGGATAGGGAGTGCTGAGGGGGATGAGGAAAAAGGGAGGGCTGAGGAGAGTGGGGGAGGGGGAGGGAGGGCTCAGGAGGGTGGAGGATACTGGAGGGTTTAGGGGGGGACAGGGGAGAATGGAGGGCTTGGGGATGGGGGAGAAGGGAGGGCATGGAGTATTAAGGAGGGCTTTGGGGTGGGGGAGAAGGGAGGGCATGGAAGATTAGGGAGGGCATGGGGGGGGTAGGGCATCTATTGGATGGAGGATGGGGGAGGAGCTTCTCTCACTGTGTCTGTTGAGTCGCTTGTGGAGGGTTCCCTGCTTCCCTCTGGGATTGTAGGGCTCGGGGTTGTGGCTCCCTGATTCCTTTTTCTCCCTGCACTCCCTCCTCGCAGCTGCTGCCCTCTCTCTCTCTCATCCCTTGTCATATCCCTCTGCAGGAATACCTTTTTGAACCTCTGTACATTTGCTAGTCTGCTCTTCCTTGCTAGCAAGTTCTCTTTTGTTCTCTCGCTCTTGAATACCACCTTTATTACATGGTCTCTGTCCTTGTTGTACTGTCCAACTCTGAAAACCTTTTCAATATCTTGGTCAGCCCTTTCCATCTTTATCCCTTTAAGGATTTCATTAACTTCATTTTTGTCCTTGTCTCTCCTTTCCACTCGACTGGTCCCTGTTTGCTCCTGAATGCCTATTATTACTACTGCTCTTTTTTGTTCTATCATCTGGCTAGTACATCTAGCTGCTTCCTGAGAAGAAGCCACTTCCATGGCAACTTCTCTAACTGCAGACCTAGCTTCAGGGCTCTTTTTAAGCATTTCTGCAAATCGTGGTCTGTGTACTGTGAGTGAATAGTTTTTCGTGGTCTGCGTACTGTGAGTGAATAAGGTTCGTGGTCTGTGTTCTGTGAGTGAATAAGGTTCGTGGTCTGTGTTCTGTGAGTGAATAAGGTTCGTGGTCTGTGTTCTGTGAGTGA